CAGAAGAGCCCTAGCCAGACCCTAGATCAAGTGCAAAGGACTCACCGCACTCTCAATGCTCCTGGCCGTCTCCCCAAAGAGCTCTGACTTGGGGTCAGCCATCTCAGGTGTGTAGAACAGCTCCTGGCCTTCCACCTCCTCCAAGATGAGGACTCCTTGGAAGACTTTGGTAGCTATGGGAGGGAGGGTAAACAAGACAAATGCCTTTAGTCGGCTTGCGGGCCGGGGACAGGCGTGTGGCTGACAGCCGCAAGTGGGGCTGCCAGCCGCAAGGAGCGTTCGAGTCCCTGGGGGGGGAAAGGGTGATGGCAGTGTGCGGGTAGTGCCAGTGTCGGGGTTAGTCTGGATGGGTCTGGGAGAGCGCCATGGAGGATTAGTATCAGAGGGTGCTGGAGCGGATGGCAAAGACCACGCTGGAGATGGCAGCTTTTACCATACGGTTTCCTCTGAGCTCTGGCCCGGATAGCAGCCCCCCTGCACCGGCTGAGTAACAAGAGAAAGACGTTAGCCAGAGCAGCACATAGTCAATACGGCAGGATCAGACACGTGCATGCAAACAGGGGGCAGAGGAGGGCAAAACGTGGGCTCCGCACACAGAGAAGACCTGTGCTGGGAGAGGGAAGTAGAGACCCTGCCAGCTAACAGGCTGTGGCCAGCCTTGCAAAACCAGAGTGAAACCGCAACAGGAACCCCAGGTGTGGTTCCCTTCCAGGGGAGCTGCGGGAGTGCAGAGGCAGCTACAGAAAGATCCCCACCATACGGGAGGTTCCCAGCAGCTGTCCTTTCGTGGGTTAAAAGGGGAACGCCATGTCTAGAGAAAAAGGGGACGTCCTGCTGGAAACCCCCAAGGAGCAGGGCAGTTAAGAAGGACCTCAGTGAGCAGCAAGGAAACATCTGGGAGACGGCCGCAGAGCAACAATTTTTAGGGTAACGAGGATGTACGTACAGGGCAACCAACACCCTGACGGAGCACAGCATCTCCTCAGCACGGACAGTGTGAAAGGGACTGCAAGTGGGCAAGACAGATCCCGCCTAGGTCACGAGAGCAGTGCACACCCCTGGGAACCGCAGCGTGAGTCGAGAGGGCTCAGACTCCCCAGGGAGCCCAGCAGGGACACCGGGGCTACAGCCGCTCTCCTCGCCTGTCCTGGCACCGGGCAGGTCCTGGCCAGCCCAGCTCCCTTTACAGCCATCGACACAGATACAATGGGAATCCAAGCACTTCCCTCACCAGCCCTAGTGCCAGTCGTGAGCTCTGCAGAAGCTTGGGCAAAACGCTGCTCAAAGTTTTAAGGCTGTTGCAGTGAGGAAAGAAAGTGGTCACCTAAGCAAAGAAACCTGCAGAGTGCCCTGACTCCCCACGTGAACAGCAGCACCCACCCAAGCACCAGGGCTGGCTGCTGGGGGCTGCGGCAGGTGGGTGCAACGTCCGTCAGCTACCAGGGCTCAGCACGTCCCCAGGAACACCCCCCCCAGGGGCACGCCAGCCCCCAGACTGGACGCAGGAACCGTGCTCGCTGCCAGCCGGGCAAGCACAGCACCATGCTGCTCTCCCCGCTGGGCAGCTCTCAGTGGCACCTCGCCCTGTCCTGCACCCTTCAAGAGCTCAGCCTGACTCCTGACCACGGAAAGGGAGCCCAGAGCCCAGCCCTGAGGACAAACTCACCCGGGCAGTTGCTGCCTTCTGCATCAGCAGCCGCGGTCTTGCCATCAGAGCAGCATCCCAGCGGGGTGTTGTAACACGTCGCCCTCTCGATGGCTGGGGTGGAAGTTACCTGGCTTTCCTCCACCTCCTCTTCCCCTGCAGGGCATTAAGAGGAGCATTCACCAGCAGGAGGTGAGACCTCACCTCTGCGTCAGAGAATGAGGCTGAGACACAGCTTCATTTCGTCACGAGAGACGGTGGGTGGTTCAGCCCACAACAGACCTGCCAAGCCTAAGATGCGCACACTCACCGGCAGAGCCTGCCCCGCTAGATTCCTGGTCTCCACTGGTGCCCATCTCTTGGTCTCCACTGCCTTCTGCACTGCCTGATTCCGCGTAGGCAGGCCGGGTGGTGGCCAGGACCACTGGTGCGGTGGAGAGAGGGCGGACGGTGGTCTTATACACCCCGTGGGTCATCCATGGTGTAGTGGCTGGTCTGGCAGTTGTGACGCGCCTCGTTGTAGGGTGACCTCTTTCAGTAGGCCTGGCTTCCAACAGCAGGGAGCTGGTAGCCAGCTCGGTGGGTTCTGGAGCCCGGGTGGTGAGCCGTAGTGGCGGAGGAAGGATTAACTTGTCCAACGGCAGTGTGGGCAACGGTGTGGGCGGTGAGGTGTGGCTGGTGTGAGTGATGGACTCTGAAAGGAGCAGCAAGACAGGGTAGGTAAGGAGGGGCACGTCTGGGAAAGGCTGGCGGTGACACCGGGAAGCACGTTGCAAACCCTCAGGC